TTTCACTAGAGTGTATTACACCGGCAATAAATTCGGTATTCACCTGACAATAATGCTACCTGGACAATACCAACAACATGGCATTTCAGCGACCATTTTTTGACATTGCCAAACTGATATTTTTAATTTGAAGTTTTTATTCATATTTTTGCATTCTATTTATTTTCAAAATCTTACGTGAAATAATCATGACGAATACCACTCGAGAAAAAATTGTGTAGGCAAAATTGTTCTCAAGGTTTTATTCAAGTTTGTTGCCTTTCGGCAATTTCGCTCATGAAATTTTTGATAAAATCACTCGCCTGACGGCTCGTGCCAAGCAACAAACTTTCATACCTTTCGAAAATTTTGCCGACAAATTTTTTTCTCTTGTGATATTATACATGAGAAATGCACTGCCACTAGTCAGCCACCAGTTGCAAATTACCTTTACCTTGTTTCAACTGACTTTGTAAAAACTATACCTTAGGTAAGTCTTGATTGTAAGGTAACATTGAAGTACCGGCCCTTAGTTATAGTTATAGAATCCAAAATCTAGACTTCTATAAAATCTTAAGTTTCAAATCCTCAGAATTCTCAAAGTTTTTCAAACTTCTAAATTTTGTGTCTTTCAGCATCTAATCGTGAGTATTGTAACTTTAAAGTCATATTCACAATCTTGAGAATTTTACTTGACGTAATTATTTCCAAATCATGTGGCTCAAATCTTGTATCTTAGTCATAGAATCCAAAATCTAGACTTCTATAAGTTTCAGTTTGAAATCCTCAGAATTCTCGAAGTCTTTAAAACTTTAAAATCTTGTGTCTTTCGGCTTTGTGTCGTAAGTTTTGTAACTTTGAGTCATATTCAAGTCAAAAATTACGGAAAGTGTCGTTGAAATGATATTTCACACCGATTTAGAGCAATTTCTCTTGATATTTCGATAAAAAAAATCCAAGAAGAAACAGAAGTAAGATAAAGTTTGCTGCTGAAGGTTTTAGTGATGGTTTTAAATGAAAACATGCCTGATAGTTTGTTTGTTATACAGGGTGGGACACGAAAAACTTCCCACCTAGGTTTTTTCAGGTCTCGTTCCAGGTGATTAATTAGAAATTACTCAGACACGTCAATTTTTCTTTTTGGGGGGACACATTTTATTAGTATTTTCATCCTCTACCTAGCTGTCAACCCTTAAGCAGAACCCGCAAAATATCATGAGGAAACAAGGTTCGAGCCGCAATTTTGGCAGGGTAAATAGTACCAATTTAGAATTTCGAGGATATATTCTTGATAAAAATTTCTATCAAATCACGTATCACTCGACCCCCCTTTCTGTTTGAAGTTTTGGAGGTACCTGTCACCCCCGCTTAGGGGTTGACAGGCTTATTAGGGGGTGAAAATACCAATATGGCATTGCCCATTCGGTAATTTTATTTTCTAACGGAAAATGATAGAATACCATCAGTTATATTAAAGATTCTGAAGTGTCCGTCACCTAACCGAAACTGAAGCGAAAGTGGTGAAATTGGATGACGCATGTAGAAGCGGCACAAAAGTTGACCAGGGGCCTCATTCTGTAAAGAACGAACCGTTCGATTCGGTAGAATTTCTTCGATTGTGACGTCATTTTCGGAATAGCTTCCGTGCTAGCAAACCGAAAATGACGTCACAATCGAAGAAATTCTACCGAATCGAACGCTTCGTTTTTTACAGAATAAGGCCCCAGGGCTGGGACTCTGTAACGAATTGAGATAGTTTTTCTATCTCTATTGACGTCTCCTCTCTATTGATTTCGACAAGAGAAAAGATGACAGCAAGTGCCATAGCGATAGGGATAACGATCTCTATCCGCTACAGAGCTCCAGCCTAGAATTGACGTTTTCAATTAAAAGAGATGGACAATAAAGTATGAAAACAATCATTTTCCCGCCAACATTTGCTTGCTTGTCAATGCCAGTGTGTATTGGGTGTTTTGAAAGAAATTGTGGGAAAAGTTACTACTTCATTTGCAGAACTTCGCTATGGAGAAAGCGGTGAATTATTTTGGAAGCGAACAGCTCCCGCAAACTAAACTTGAACGTGGATTACTTTGTATACTTGATGGGCCGTGGATTCCCTTTTTTTTTGCGAGTATTCTTTCTGATTTTATGTACCTATCCAAAATTTGACAAATGTAGGATTTGATGGAAACTTATGGAAAGACACGTCCGCCGGTAAATAGGAATTATTTTTACAAAAAGGCACACTACACAATCACCATTGTTAGGAAAAAACCGAGGAAATAATAGTTTCCAGTTTCCACATGTACAAAAGTCTTGTCAACAAACCACTGTCAGCGGCTTTCAACAGTTGTTTTCATACTCTTTTGGCGTCTGACAGTTTGCCGCCAGAGAGAGAAGCTTTTAAATTGAAAAGGTCAATTTCAAAATTTGAATTATATTGGATGACGCGTTCCAAAGTTATCACCTGGGTAAAACGTCGTGGGGACACCTTGTATATAGGTACAGGGCGGAGGGCGGGGCACGGAAAACTTGCCACCCAGGTTTTCTCAGCGGGCTCAGAGGCTTTTGGACTCCATGCCAAAAAAAAAAAAATTTACAGTCAAAAAACATATGCGTACGATTCTTAGAATATTGTCTTACGAAACGTAATTGTAATCAAGAAAATATGAAAATCATTGAAAATTTTGCTGACTTGAACACAAAAATAAAATTAGGTTAGGAATTTCCTATTTGTACATGAAATCTACGTTCGTTTTTGTTGGTAATTTTTTGTTTCATCTGATTCGTGATTGATAAATAAGGATGAAATTATTCTAAATGGGTATATATTAAATAAATTTAGAAAAAAAAACTTTTTGAAAACAAGCTTTTATAAAATGGACTAAAAAGCATAAAATAATTTTTTTAGTGTTCTGATATCATAATAATAAAAGCGATGGGCGTATTAAAGGAAATTTACCCGTTTTTGTTTTAGCCTTGTTATTTAGAAGTTTAGTGAAAATCCAAATTCATTATATTATAGCAGAGACATGTAAGGGTAGACAATTTAACCCAACCCAACCAAACCCTGCTCAAGCTACCCTTACATTTTTCTGATATGGATGGACATTATTACGCCTGCTTCATATTAGGCAGATCATCCGCAGTGTGTCGATTTATTTTGTCACGTTGAAAAAGAAGAGTCGGCCCATCATCGGTTGTGGACGATCCACCAAATGCGCATGGAAAGGCATTTACCTAATATTTAATACGCCCATCGCTTTTATTATTATGATATCAGAACACTCAAAATAGTATATTATATACCTAGGTAGAGAAGTTGGTCCTTATATACCGAGCGGTTTTATAAACCGAGGCGCTCGCGCCGAGGTTTATAATGAGTGAGGTATATAATGACTTTCTCTACCGAGGAATATATAGAATTTTTTTTACTACTGCTAGTAGAAAATGAAAAATTTGTTTAAAATCTGTGCTCCAATTATTTTTTTTTGAACGCCCTCTTGAAAGTGCTGCCCTCTATCAACAGCTTATGATAACTTCCTATGTACCTACAGAAACCTGTATTTTTTTTCAAATTGACGTATGGAAATGAAATTGAACCAATAGAAACATGATCCTTGCGTCATGACGTCATTTTCATTATTAACCTAGGTATTTTTTCATTATTTTCATTATTCACCTAGGGAGAGAAATTCAATTTTTTCCTAGAAAAATAGATTGAATAATGACAATTTCTCAGGTTAGTAGTAAAAAAAATTATTTTTTCTACAACTGTCAAAAAATGATGATGTGCGCACACTCATGACAGTTTGCGAAGTGACACTTTTTTCCCAGGTATTGATTTTTTAACGTTCCCATGACGCCGTGCGCGAACTAGCTATTTCGCGCACTTGTGCGCGAAATAGCTAGTTCGCACACTGGGTGTCATGGTGACACATACCTGTCAGGAAATCAAAAATAATTAAAATTCACCTACCTTTGATTGAAAATGCAATTTTGGCTTCGAATAATTGATATTTAAATGGAGTTGTAGAAAAAATATTGTTTGCAACTCGGGCGCGAAATACTTTGGTGATCTCGACTATTTTTTTAACTCGGCTGCGCCTCGTTAAAAAAATCAGATCTCACCAAAGTAGCATTTCGCGCCCTTGATACAAAAATAACTATTTTCTACAACTGTCAAAAAATGATGATGTTCGCACACTCATGACAGTTTGCGAAGTCACACTTTTTTTCCCAGGTATTGATTTTTTAACGTTCCCATGACGCCGCGCGCGAACTAGCTATTTCGCGCATGTGTGCGCGAAATAGCTAGTTCGCACACTGGGTGTCATAGTGACACATACCTGTCAGGAAGCCAAAAATAATTAAAATTCACCTAGGTACCTACTTTTATTTGAAAATGCAATTTTAGCTTCGAATGATAGATATTTAAATGGAGTTGTAGAAAAAATATTGTTTGCAACTCGGGCGCGAAATACTTTGGTGATCTCGACTGATCACCAAAATAGCATTTCGCGCACTAGATACAAAAATAACTATTTTCTACAACTGTCAAAAAATGATGATGTTCGCACACTCATGACAGTTTGCGAAGTGACACTTTTTTTCCCAGGTATTGATTTTTTAACGTTCCCATGACGCCGTGCGCGAACTAGCTATTTTGCACACTATTGCGCGAAATAGCTAGTTCGCACACTGGTGTGTCATGGTGACACATACCTGTCGGCTGTCAGGAAACCAAAAATAATTAAATTTCACCTACCTTTGATTGAAAATGCAATTTTGCCTTCGAATGATCGATATTTAAATGCAGTTGTAGAAAAAATATTGTTTGCAACTCGGGCGCGAAATACTTTGGTGATCGAGATCTGATTTTTTTAACGAGGCGCAGCCGAGTTAAAAAAATAGTCGAGCATTTCGCGCACTTGATACAAAAATAACTATTATGCTTTTTAGTCCATTTTATAAAAGCTTGTTTTCAAAAAGTTTTTTTTTCTAAATTTATTTTTTAATTTTTAGATTTGTCTAAGTCTATGCATTTCAGCTAGCGCATCGATATTGCAGGGAGTCTTTCCTGTCAATTTTGAAATATCTAAGTCTTCGATGAGAAGGCCATCCAACGATTTGATACGGCTCAAGGTGACATAAGCTTGACCAGGAGCAAAAAGCTTAGGTCGCAAGTAAATCACAGCATAGTCAGCAGTACTACCCTGCATTTTATGAACAGTATAGATGCCCAGCATAAGACTATAGGTAACATTCTTCGCTCGGCTGTGCCATAACTATATTTGGTAGGAAATTGCACAGATTTCGGCTGAATCATATGAATGCCGTCATTACCAAAGTCTATTTCCACTGAAGGTGTATCATTGTCGTAAATCTGTGCTCGCCGAAAGCATGGCCAGATGATTTTAGTTATGTTTCCAATAGCCCCGTTCACTAAAACTTTTTTTACATCTATGTTGGACCGCAACATAACTTTGCCCATTTGGCGTCCATTTTGAATCCGCCATATTGAGTTTTTGTAATCTGATCAAAAATTCCTAATCCTCATCCTCAAAAACCCCCAGATACCAATTTTGGTGGAAATCCAACAAACTAAAATTTTACCCCTTCTCCGCCCTCCAAGTTAGGGGTGAGGTAGGCAGTCATTGATACCACATTATTGGATTGTCATCGGAACTATAACGGTATGCGAAATTTGAAGTCAATCGGATACGTGGAAGTCAGTAGAAAGTAATCCGAAAAACTTGACATTAAATCGTCCATTTTGAATCCGCCATATTGAGTTTTTGTAATCTGATCAGAAATTCGTAATTCTCATCCTCAAAAACCCCCAGATACTAATTTTGGTTGAAATCCGACGAACTAAAGTTTTACCCCCTCTCCACCCCCCACGTTAGGGGGGAGGTAGGTACCCGATGAAACCATATTATTGTATTGTCATCGGAACTAAGACGCTTTGCGAAATTTGAAGTCAATCCGATGTTTGGAAGTTCTTCAAAAATGAGTTGCAAGATTTGATTACATACATACATACATACATACATACATACAGGTGAAGTTAAATAAAAGCTTGTAAAATACTTAGGTAGTTCGCAAAAAGTAAAATCGCGATCGGTAATGTTAGCTGTTAGCGTGGAAGATGGGTAGGCGAATTTCGCAAAAGAATTATTTCCAGGTTTTTATGAGTCATGGCCAGTTTATTCACCTGATAAACTGTCAGGTATGCAATCTGACGGATATAAACGCAATCTGTAATCCCATTTGTCGGTCAGTTATCCGCCGACCAGAATAGACCTATCTATTTTCACCTGTATGCGCGCGCAACACGAGGCAATGCATTTTTATTGGCTTACTAATACAGGTGAGAGGTGTTCGCTTTGCACGCCAGGCATCTCCTTGTCTTTGTTCATTGCCCGTGGTCTGACAAGGATCAGAATTATGGTTGATAAATAACTTGACGTAGCTTGACAAGTGATCGATTTTCAATTGTTTGTGTTTTTGATTGACAAATACGTTGCACGTCACGCGGTTTTCCTCCTTCCTTTTTTATCCCGTGCAAATAATAAGAACGGATTGCTATACGTAAGTCTAACATAATTTGGTACGTTTTGCCTCGTCTTGTGCAATAAGCGTTCAATTTATCGTGCAGATAATGAATAAACCAGGCCTTAGAACCAAATTATGGACCGACTGGGTAACTTCTCTGGCAAATGTATCCTGCTGGTAAATTGAATTCAATTTTCAGTTCTACGAACAGGATAAATTTGCCAATGACATTACCAGTCGGTCCATATTTTGGCCTTCAGACAAACAGAATATATGCAATATTGTAATTAGGCTTCGCCAAACCACTCTGCCTCCAGGTTCAAAATCTGAAGTTATGCCACTGCCTACCTCTCAACCTTTAAGCGAAGGTGACAGCCGACAGGTATCCCCAAAATTTCAAATAAAAAAGGGGGTTCGATACGTCATTTGATAGAAAGTTCTAAGATTACTTATATCTTCGAAATTTTAAGTTGCTACTACATAGTTACAACCAGTCTGGTTAACTCAGTGGTTATACTATCCCGAAGATAATTCACCCCGGTTGATATGACCGTTTGGGGAACCACACTGACATTGACATGCAAATTACTTCGAGGGTGGTTTAAGGAGGCAAAACAAATGTCATTGGGTGAAACTAATAATTGTGATTCATCGAAAAAGGAGATTTTGTAAAAATATGAACCAGAGACTTATGGACATTTCCATCGGGCCCAAATAGTACTGGAAGTTATAGGCCATTACCAACATACACCATTTAGCGTACCTAAAAAGACTTGCAAATAACTTTGAGGGTGGTTTCAGGGGGTAAAACTAATAATTCCCATTCATCGAAAAAAGGGTTTTTATGAAAATATGGACATTATACCCTAGTATTGGGTACAAGTGGTACTGGAAGTTATAGAGAGTACGCACACATACAAATTTTCACTCTCTTCATTGCACGCTCGCTTCATTCACCCTGTTTAGAGAATGTTCATTTTAATATAGGAATTGCCTTACCCAACGTTGTAAATTTGTTGGAATAAATACAAGACCTTAATATTCTATTCATGTGTCTTCTTTTGGAGTTATCTGCAGGATTTATAGAAAAGATAAAAGGAATAACTTCCAGCATCTTATTCGATGCCTGATCTCCACTGTAATAAGCTACCTGGTGCACGTGGGCCCTCAACCACAATAATCTTGAGGGTGGCGCCCGAGGTAACCGTTAAAGTAAGAATAGGAAAAATCGGCGTTACAAAATTGGCGCCCGAGCAGGTACCCTCAATTGCTGTAACCAGACCAGTCCTTTGTAAAACCTAGACTCAAGATGACAGGAGGCAACAACAACCCTGGAGACCCGCCAGCTACGAGTACCCCAAATACTATTGCACAGATGGTACATATTAACCCTGCCGAAATGAGGACTTGTCAAAGTTAGGAAATAGAACATTGTATTATTTGAACCCCCTTTTCATTTGATATTTTGCTGGTACCTGCTGCCTCCACCTACCTAGGGGTTGACAAGTAGAGGGTGGAAATACCAATAAAATGTGTCCCCAAAGAAACAAAACTTGGCCTGTGAATATTTGATTATTCAACTAACACCGGAGAAAACCTAGGTGGGAAGTTTTTCGTGTCCCACCCTGGTATTACTAACAAACACTAAAACTTTCAGCAGCTAACTTTATTTAGCTTCCGTTGTCTTTCGGGGTGTGCACTAGCGGCCATTTTGGAAAATCGCCGCCACGGCCGCCAAGGGGCAGTCTCCTCTGTGCCAAATTTGGTGCCTTTATCAAAAAGTGCACAAAAGGTTAGCTAATCTGCTGTACTAAAATGCAATTTTGAATCAGAAATACTTCCCCGAATGGATATGCATGACTATTTTTGCTCCAATTTAGGTTATTTCAAGGTTAAATTCAAAATCTTTAAAACATTTAAGACTACGTTGGATAGATTTTGACTGAAAAAAAAATAAAGAATTACAGAAAATTTCATCGAAAAGCAGTTTTGCACCCGTTTAGCGGACAGTTTCGTTTGATGATGAGAAAAATCCACAAAGAATCACATTTGGAGCAAGTTTAGACCACTTTCTAGTTTCCAATGCAAAATTTGAACTAAAAAAAAATTCTCCATATGGAATTGTATGGTGTATTTGCTCTAATTTTAATTTAGGTTTATAGTTGAACGCAAACTTCAATTCGTAAATAAGAAAGGCTCAAATTATGTTGAAAGCCTACATTATTGACTTTGGTAGAATACATTTCTGAAATTTGAAATCAATTTCCATGTCTAGGCTAGGATAAGTTTTCTCGTAAGTACTCGGGTATAGTTATTTTTTTCCAAACAAGTTTTTCCTTGGGAGACTTTTCCCTCGTCACGATAGTTTTTGAAGGTTTTTGTCAGTAAAAAGCGATTGGGATATGAAGCTAATGAATAGGAGATATCGTTTATCCATCTGTGTCAAAGGTGAGAAAAGGATCTGAGCTTATTGTAACTGATTTACGGATTCAAATGTTCAAAACTTTTCCTTATTATATACGTGGTTTTCTCTAAGCGAAACTTTACCAGGGATTACCTACCATTAGACTAGTAGGTATCTTCTACATACATATTTATTTATTTTGTGTAATGTAATGTAAAATAAATATTATTGCTTTTTTGTGTGGTAATGGAAACTGATTTTTATGTCTTTGAAATGTGTAATTTTTTCTCAAATTTCCAAGCCACCAAAGTTGGCGCTTCGAATGTTAAACAGTTCAAATTGGGTTCCTATAATTTAGGATGATTATATGTATAATTACGTAACTTTTTATCGGTTAATTTAAATAATATAACAAGTGCAAAATAAATATTTGCTTATCAAAGATAATAATTATCGAACAGGTTATTTGTACACTAATTATAAGTTTAAATCAAAGATGCAGCTTAATCTTTTTCAAAACAACTTGACATACTGCTTGGGGACAAGATTAGACAGACTGTTGATGAGAAATTTAGGAAATTTACAATTTTTATACTTATAATTAACTTGGGTCGATTTGATAAAATTTTTGTTTTAAGTTAGTTTTTCAAACCTTTTCGCATTTTTTCGAATAGTTGTTTTCTTCACTGAATAGATATAATATATGTAGATGTAGATATGAGATCTGTTCTCACTCTTTGATTAATGATTCTCACAGAAATCAAAAAACCATGAGTTAGTTCGAATTTTGTTGGTTGAGAATAGTCAGAAAACGGTTTTTTGGCGATTTGCAGCAATCAAAAACGATCTGACTGATTTGTGATTTCTTTGAGAACAGACAGAAGCATTAATATTTTCATAACCGGCATTAATGCGGTAATCCTAAGTCAATATGACATTGTAAAGCATGTAAAATATTCTTGGAATAAGTATAAGTGCAGTTTTTTCAAGTTTAACAATAATTTCATTGAAATATTCCATAAATCACATGGAAAGTAACGGTTTTATTTCATAAAAATCCTCAACTTAATTATTTTAGCGCCAAGATAAGAGGTTTGACCTCTCTGCAATAAAACGATACCAACAAAACAACAGAAAAATACATGCCACATTATAATGATAACCTCACTTACCTTCCAAGTGCCCAAGCCGAAGATTGGCATCACCAGCCCATTATTCAATTTAACACCGGGAACTTTGGAGGCCATTGCGACTTAACTTTAAAAATCGCTGACTAAACTGAAACTGAATAAACCGGCCGAAAAATTTTTATTAAGTGCTTTTAAATGTTATCAGTTTGTTCTAGTAAATACGTGTCTATTTTTTTAGGGTCAATAAATAAGCTATTTAATGATTAAATAATGCTTGGTAGAGCATCTATTGGTAGATGATAGAACTAGCATTGCTTCATTTATAGAGAACTGTAGCAGAGTTCTACTGTAGATAGATTAATGCAGAAGCTATTTTACTCTTCAAACTTTTTCCTTCACAATTTCGTTTACTTTCCCCGGCACTTGTAGATTTCCCGCCTTGATTTTACAATTTACCACTACAACGTAAATTTCAAAAATCTTTCACATTACCAAACGTTTAACGTTGAAAAAATCCATCACAAAACTGACTCACTGAAAGGGAGTCGTTATTAATTTAGAAAAAATGAGTGATGAAATGAAAAATAAAATTTGCAGCACCCCAAGAATGATTTTTTTAATATAAATATTGCATAAGAATTTTGAGCTTCCAGAAATTCTTGTAGATGAGAGCTGTAGGTCGCTTGTGGCTGAAAAAGTGGCTTTGAATTGATTCTCCTGGCTTTTGGAGTGCTGTAGATTAGCTTCTGGACTGTCCTTGATTGTAGAGAGTACTTTGGACAAATTCTGGAGGGCTTTGGAGGAGACTCGGACTCTCCTGTCATGGTACAGGAAGCTGTAGAATTGCTTATACTGTTGGTGTACTTCAATGCCAAACTTCTTTATCCGGATCGAAGGACCATGAACTTGGCTTTACTGTTTAAAAAACTAGATCTATTCATTTATTGTGTAGAGGGTTTATAAGGTAGGTAAACGATTTCCTATAATAATATGAGCTACTGACAATAAGATGAATTTAGAAAATACATTATTTAGTCTTTCATCTTTCATATACTGGGTGCTTCACGAAGATCGAAACAGAGGCGTTTTGGGGTATTTCAAAGTCGATTTTAAAAAAACGCTCGGACACGTCAATTTTGTATTCAAGAGGGACACTTTTTGACCCCATCGGTATTTTTCTAGGGTACACCCTCTGGGTGGGGTGATTTTTACCCTCCATTTTTAGATAGGGAAGATGGATCGAGTAACATCTTGTTTTAAAGGTATTTTGATTGTCGTCACAACTGTGTACTTTTTTTGAAAATTGAATGATTAATTCTCAAGATATTTACTGTCAAAGTTGCCATAGGCTGAATAAGTAACAATCTTCCGGCCCTGTAATTCTCAAATGAACACTTTTCTGACTTTCCTTTCAGAAAATTGACGTGTCCGAGAGAAAAGTCAGGAAAGTGTTAGTTTGAGAATAACAGGGTCAGAAGATTGTTTCCTATTTAGCCCATGACAACTTTGACAGTGAATATCTTGAGAATTAATTAATCGATTTAAAAAAAAAAATTTACAGTTGTGACGAGAATCAAAATCCCTTTAAAACAAGGTACCACTCGACCCATCTTCCCTATATAAAAAAGAGGGGTGAAAGTCACCCAGCCAGGGAGTGCACCTTAGTGAAATACCGATGGAGTCAAAAAGTTTCCCCCTTGAATACAAAAATGACGTGTCGGAGCGTTTTTTTTTTAAATTGACCTTGGATGTCTGCTTACATCTTCAATGCGTCTTAAAGACGTCGTGAAGACGTCGTATGTTACAAAATCCAACGTCTTTCAGACGTCTGCCAAATATGTCTCCAGGACTAATATTTCATTATTATGACTCATTTTAAAACTTTCAAATTTGTCTATTCCAGGCGCTGGGCTCTCTGAAATAATTCTGAGGTTTTCAAAGTGTTCTGAAGTCTTTCAAAATGCTGCTGGAAAGTGCTTTGGAACGTTCTATTGAAATTCTAAAGTGTTCTAAGTTGATTTGAAAGGTTCTCAAGCATTTTTAAAGTTTTTCAGTAATTTCTATATTGTTCTCACAGATTTTTAAGTACCTATGTATGGTACCTATTCAAGAGCCCTATATTGAAGCTCCAGAGTGTTCTGAATTGGTTCAAGAGTACTAGAAGGTTTCCAGTTCTAAAGTGAATCCTAATTGTTCTGAAATAACTCTGAGATTTCTAAATTGTTCCAAAATGCTTTTGAAAATCCTGATTTGGATTTAGACTGTTTTGGGTGCTTATTAATGATTTAAAGTTCTACTGCAATTTAAATTCGCTCTTTAACGCCTTCTAAAAGGCGTTTTTGTAACTTTTAACCTAAATCTTAAGATTCTGGCGCTTTTCAAAATGTTTCTGGAGATTCTAAAGTGTTTGAGTATTTTGGAGCATCCTAGAATGGGTTTCAATTTTCGGAATTGTTTGTTTTTGTAACAAAGCTATTGTTGTAGTCCTATCCTAAAGGAGTTGTTCCAGCACGCGAAATTTGGCATCATGATCATATGTACTCTTCTTAGGAAGGAATCCAAATTGAGCGAAGTTGAAAAGTTTATGTTTTGATAGGAAGTCCATGATACGTTTTTTAAGAATTTTTTCTACAACTTTGGATATTGTTGACAGCAATGGTATTGGGCAATAATTTGATGGCTCTTTTGTATTTCCGGCCTCATGTATTGGTACTACCAATGCGTCGTTGAGCCTAGGTGGAGAGGTGCCTGATGAAAATGACGGTTTGATTGCTTGCGATAGATCACCAAGAGCCTGGTCCGGAAATTCCCTCGAAATTTTTTTGGATATACAATTTGAATTGAGCTATGGACTGATTTCTAATAGACTTAAGAATGGATCTTACCTCTTGGATTGGATATTGGTTGGAAAAAAATGAAAAGATGCATTGCAAGTTTACAAGATAATTTGATGGATCAACATCCAAGTTGACGCACTGCAGTAAGGTTATCAGCAACAGTGCAATAAAAGCTGTTCAAATTTTTAGGATCAATGTCAATTTCTTGTGTTCTAAGGCTATTAATTATATCAGCAACCTCTTTCACAATGTTTCAGGTTTCCTTAGGTTTAATAAATTTAAGGAAACTTAGAAGGAAATCGCCTATCGTTTAAGTAATGGTGCTGATAGTGGGTCGGGTGATTTGATGATTTTATTATTATTAAATATTATAATAAAAATTTAGGACCAATTAATTAACTTACAAGAATGTCCAACTACCCGAATTTATCAACACACACACTGATCTGGAGTTGCTCAACCGATTTCTGAGGCTTAAAAAAGTATTTATGAATATACGAAACGTCGCCGTAAGATAAGTGGTTTCATTCCTTTTTCCCATAACCCATGAATATGCTAAATAACAATGATCCAGGGAAATGAATATTCTTTCAAGTAAGGATAAATTTCCTATAACTTTTTCTGTATTTCAGGTAGTTCAAAATAAAAGGACTTTCAACAAAGTGTTTTATGAGATTCAAAGATCTTAAGTTAGCTGCAGGAATCTTTAAGCCTTTTATCCTCCAATATTTTCGGTTATCCTATTCAAGAGAGGGTCTTATAGGGCCTAGGGAAACAGATTTATTTATGATATTACTCAGAGTAAGAGTGAATGAATGAATTCTTCGAGAGAATCTGCCCTAGAAAGGATGGATTGTCAAAATATGTTATTACAGGTTTTCTTAAAATGAGAGTCATTTTTACTGCTAAATATTCGGCTGTACTGACCCTGACAATCAAAATCGCTCTCAAATGGACATTTTGAATTTATGTTAGGGACCTTTCTCATGCAATGAACAACAAGGATGGCTTATTAAGATTTCTGCAATAAAGAAAGAGACACATATAATGACGCGCGATACCTGTGGGGAATGACTTTGATTGGTTCCACTTGTCAAATTGTGCAATTTCGGTTATGTTTCTGTTTTTGTTTATTTTTTAACGTAAATATGACAAATATAATGTATTAACATTAATTAGAAAAAAAAACCACCGTTGGACAAAAATGTTTGCAGCAAACCTTTAATAATTGTACAATTATTATTGTATTTGATATAGAAATCGTTATTTCACGAACCCTCAAATCTCTGTCCCAACTTAAATCGTCTTCATTCGGGTTGAGAGCACATAACTATTGTTTTCTTGAAATTTGATTGCTTGGGAACTTGTGAAAAGAGATGTTTGACTTCTTTTTCGCCTTATTCTGACAAGATCTCATACAACACATTTGAAATTTTCAGCAATTTGATTGATATTGATTGATTATTGAGGTTAGCTTAAATATGTCAGGGTCAGACCGCGTTCAGTAAATTGACGATTTAATTATCTGTCACCCACAAGCGGCGCGCGCAGCACAGGTAAAATGAGAAAGGTCCATTGAGAAGTTGGAAAATAAAACTTTTTCTCACTTTGAAATTTTATCTGAACATCTTCAAATCTCCATATCTCAGTATCCTTCGTGTGCTCAAAAGAGAATGCGGCCTTGGAGGGACACTCTTTGCATCAAAAATTTAAAGAGTTATAGGCAAGATAAGCAAAGCTAATCCTCCCTCTGTCTGGTGTGGTTTACATTTTGAAATAGGACATTACGTGACTTGTAATTGTTTGTTTTTGAATGTTTTGGATCATTCTAAAATGGTTCTGAAACGCTGAAGAATACTTTTAGAAATCTCGTTTTGAATTTAGGGTTTTGAACTTTCCAAGAGGCTTATTAAAGTTCTAAAGTGTTCTTTCTGTAGCATTTTAAATGGTTTCCAGTAACTTCCAAATTGAACAAGAAACGAATTTTGTGAGAAGTTTTTGTAGACATCTCAAAAACGTCTCTAAGATGTCCACAAGACGGTTGCGGCGCGGCAGTTCACGAACTTCCAGATGATAGCAACACCATCCTCAAACGCCTCTGTAGACAGAATCCTGAACTCAGGACGAATCTATGGAGGACGCATCACCGAGAAGAAGAGCCAAACAGGGCTCTCCTGGTTTTTGGGAGTTGACGAGGCTTCGTCTGAGGTCTTGCGTCGCCAAAACTACAAGGTGTACGCAGGGAGCTCCAGCTGCGCCCGTAAAAGTGACGGCTCCATAGTAGCAATACTCCATCCTCAGAAGGAACGTCACCGCCCAATCCAGCTTCGAACGAGCCAGTCGATGGCTCTGAAGATCTGGAAAAAGAGTTGACCGAACTTATGGCTCTAGTGGATGTAGATGATACTCCACCGGGACCACGGGCTGCACAATCTACAGTCTAGAAATAGATCCAATCATTATCCCATACCATGGATAAAGAGACCTTATTTCTTCAAAGTAATTTGCAACATAGCTAAGGGGCGACCTCCTTATTAGATCGTCACATTGCTATGGGGCAGACACATGTATGCCTCCTACAAGAATCTTGGGCATACAAGGGTCGAGTAACATGATTAGGCAGAGTGGAAAGATCTATTTTCTATACATCCAACTGAACCCAAGGACTTGCATGTATGTCGACAGACGTATCGAGTCTACTCTAATTGCTACTTTCTGCTCTAGAGACCCAGTAGCGGTGAAGCTATGCCTCAAGGACAGACTAGAACAGAGCAGATCGATAGTAGTTTGCTCGGCCTATCTGCCCAATGACTCAACAGATGATTTCCCAGCATGGGAGTTCATCGATTTCGTGCTTTGGTGGAGTACTGTAACTCACTGGGCCTTCCGTTGATTGTCGGATGCGATGCCAACATGGTGTGAGGCAGCACCAACATGAACTGGAGAGGGCTCAATCTGCTGGAGTACCTTCACACCACTGATTTAGAAATCCTGACCGCACCGAGCTTTGTCACTTCGTGTAGATAAGAGGAGTTGACATTGGGTTCACTCTCCATGGCACCGGTGATAAGCAAGTGAACAGTGTCTGACGAACCGTCCCTATCGGATCACAGGCATATCCTATTCAGCTTAGACCTTGATTACAAGGCTGGGCCCAGTAAGTTCAGGAACCCCCATAACACGAACTGGTACCAATACTTTGAGATCCCAAGGGCTAAACTAGAAAAGTTTTCCACACCATGCCGCAAGTGGAGGAAACAGCCGAATTCATACGCAATCAAGCTGTCAGCTTCGGACCTATCGAGGAAAGAAGAAAACCCCTTGGTGAAACTCCGACCTCGACAAGGCTCGTAAAGAAACCCGCAGGCTCTCTAACAGGGCCATACGGTCTTAATCACTAGCTGACTGGGACAGCCACAAGCAGTCTCAGCGCAGATACAAAGATCTTATCTTGGTCCAAAAGAGAATCATGGAGTACGTCCTGTGGAAACGTAGATGAGCTTCCGGCAGCCGCCAAGCTCCAAAAAATTATTTCGAAAGTCCCAGGACGAGAGCTGGGGTTACTAACGCTTCCCTCCGGTAGTAATAGCGCTATCGCAGAGGAGGCACTTGGTTGGCTTCTGGAAATACACTTTTCAGGTTCTGAAATCCTGCGAACTGGTGAACCACCAATGCAAGCTCTAGGAGTCATCATTGACTCATTGACTCCAGGGTAACCTGGAAAGATCACGTCAAAAGGATCGTCCAGAGAGCCACTGCTAGCCTTTGGGCCTGTAGAAGATCCATCGGACGTACCTGAGACCTACAACCGCACATAGTCCACTGGCTTTACACAGCAGTGATAAGGCCAATGATCACGTACAGCGACTTAGTTTGGTGGAACGCGCTTAGCAAATCCACCTGCAAGGTAAAGCTGGACAAGCTCCAACGACTTGCCTGCATGGCTACAATTGGAGCTTTTGAAACCACCCCAACGTTGGCGATGGAGGCCATAATGCCTCTCCATCTCTTTGTAGAGGCATGGGCCCGAGAGGCTTCTGTCAGACTCAATGATTGGGGACAATGGGTTCACAGAGGGCTGGGTATGGGACATGCAAGGGTCTGGACTGATACCATCAGGCAGGACCCCCTTCTCCAGAAGGGATGCAATGCCAAAATCTTCAGCCCCTCCTAGACAATACAAGGACGTCATCCTTGCAAGGAACATACTGGCTAAAGCCTGCCCAGGCTTTCTCAAGCCGAAAAGGCTCATCTCGTACACGAACGGGTCTCTGACGGGGGAGGGTGCAGGAGCTGGTGTATATGGGGAGAGACCTGTGGTGAGAATAAGTCTTACACTGGGCCGATACCCAACGGTATACCAGATCTACGCCATACAAGCATGTGCTCAGGAAAAACTCCAGAGAGGTTACTCGTGCAAGCATATTTATATATGCAGCGACAGTCAGGCAGCACTCCCATCCCTTGGCTCAGACAAGGTCAACTCGAGGTTCACGTTTGACTGTATAACAACCCACAAGCTACTCAGTGGGCTTAACAAGGTCACCCTTGTTTGGGTCCTAGGTCACAGGGGCATAAAAGGCAACCAGGAGGCAGACCAGCTGGCTCCTGAAGGTAACAAAACTGCCTTTATTGGGCCCGAGCCTGTTCTTGGGGTTGCTACCTGCCTGCTACAAACCAACCGGTCCAACAACCGATTCCAAGACGAATGGCTGAAACAGGAAGGCTCCAGATAGTCAAGGATCTTTATCTCAAACTGCAAAGGGGCTAAATCTAAACAGGAGCCAAATAGGAGTCATCACAGGCGTCCTGACGGGATACTGGGGGGTCAGATACCACCTACCTTTTCAAATCAGTCAATTAAATACATAAACCATTATTCACTTTCAGGCCCGGTTGTTTTCAATAGTGTGGCTCAGTTGTCTTTAAGATTAAAGTATATGGCAAAAACAGGTGTGACGTCAGGTGACTATTGGCGTTTTAAGTCTGGGACTAGAAAAGGACCAAAATGCATAGAAGAAATTCTTTGAAGAAGTTGAAAGTAGTCCACAATCAGAATGAATTGGGCTGGAAAGTTATGCCAAAATTGACAAGAAACTCAATTGCAAATAGGCAAAATTCACTTCATCATCGTCAGCTCCAGCCTGTCATTTCCTTCCTCAATCTTTGCTATTCCCTATCCATTTTCCAGCGATTCTTTTTATGTCATATCCAACGACCAATCAATTAACTGCCAAATCTTTAAGCTCAATTCTTTTTTCAACAAAAAGAATCTAAAAATATCCAATGCAATTAAGATAACAGTTCGCCGTGGGCAATAAACGCAAAATCTTCCAGACGCGGAGCAAAAATTCGAACAAAATAAAAATGATAAATGGTTAATTAAATTGTTTGTTGCACGATTACAGTTGCTGAGGGCCTTGCAAGAGATGACCCAACCAGGGAGATAAAATATTAAATGCTAATTACATAAATGTTTTTTAGTTTCAAGTTCGATTGGATAAAGAATCACTTATCAACTAATGAGAAATTTGCATTGTATCATTTCTGCATAGGGTAGATTGTAAGATTATGGATACATTTTAGAAATGGGATATTTTAAATTTTTCTTTTTCTGCTGATGTAGATTTTGCCTTTCTGTTCTACATTATGGCTAGCCTCCTTCCACTGCTCTTTTTCTTTAGATGTTTCTATAGATTAGATTCTTTAATCTTTTTGGACTTATATCTCCAGCTTATCACTGTCAGTTGATTAAACTCAGAATCAGAGTCCACTTCCATGTGATGAAAAGTTCAGGTTTGCCAGGTACTAAAACTTACCTCATCGCCATTGACAATTATAATGTCAATTTTCTGGATCAAAAATCGATTCGCGCGTGTCAAATCATTACCCAGTCATTTTTCATGTAACAAAATTCCCAGTGTCGATTCTTCAACATGACCACCGAAAATACCAACAAAGATCTATCGAATACAGTCAACAGGCAACTATTGGAAAATCAGTCGTTTTTGTACGCGGAAAATCAAAAGCTGCAGCAAAATGTAACGCACTTGTCCAAGCATTTGGAAGAGTTGCGCCAGAGTACCATGGACCCGAAAATAATGGATCATTTAGTCAAAGAGAAGAACCATTTATTTTCGTTGAACGAAACTTTAAAACGGAAAATTCATCTAATGAAATCGGTCGTGCCGGGATTGAGTGCAGAAGATATTGAAAAACAAAAACGCGAAAAACAGGAAATAACGAAATCGATCGAAGAACTTGATGTGATTTTGAGAAAAATTAACGACAGGCCCGAAACTTTTGATTTAAAATTGCCTAAAGAAAGTGTCGTAGGAGAATTGTGTCGAACTTTGACTGACAGATTAGATGACGAACAACTAAGATCAGATCAAGCGATTGAAACTATAAGAAGACTCAGAGATGACGATGAAAAATTAATTTTAAAAGATAAAGTTGCCGACATGAAACATCTTATTACTGACCTAGAGGTAGATAATACTAAATTGAAATTTGAAGTTGAACAAATGACCGAAGAAGTAGAAAGGTAATTTTTGTTTGTTGAATGATTTTAAGATTTTATTAAAACTGTTTTCAGGCATAAGAACGATGCTGATGAATCATTTAAAGCCTTGACAAGCCTAAAAAAAGAAAAATATTCTCTCGAAGACCAAATGGATGAGCTGAAACAAAAAATCTCAGATTTGGAAAATGAAAAACTAGAACTAAAAAAAGACATGATTGAAGAACTAACTGAAGCAAATAGAGCTAAAAGAGTTTCAGCCGATACCGAAATGGCGCTGCAGCACATTTCCGAAGCGTACGAAAATAAACGAAGAGAAGTCGCTAAAATTCAAAAACAATTAGAAGAAGCCAACGGTATTATTTATGCTTTCAGAGAACAATTTGATAAACCCATAAAATAAATAAAAGTCTTAAAAATGCATTCATTTAGGTACAATTTACTTTTTGGGGGGCGACAAAAATTACAACTAAATATATAAAATAATAACTAAAATACATAAAAGAGAAAGAAAAGGTATATAAAGAAAAAAAAAACATACATACTAAAACTACCATCAGTATTATGAATATAACAAAAATATGGCTTAGAACAATTTGAAGTTTTGTTTAAGATTAACAGTGTAAACCTACTCATAAATTGGATGGTGGCTCTTATCCAATTTGGTTTACATTTTACTCCTTCGAATCAAAATAATTATTTGTTTTTTTCGTAAGAGTAACCAAAATGCTTTAAACCTGTCAAGTATTACCAATTTCATGTCAATTCTCAATTTAACTGAACTATCGAGCACGTTTACATCGCATGCGTTCGAGTCGCTTATTACAAAAAGCTATAAAAAATAAATAATCCATTTCCAAACAAAATTTCATTCGTCCTCGCCTTCAGGTATAGTAGGAGGTATAAAAATGGGCCCGCTTTGATTTGGCAGGGCCACAAAATTTCGATTTCCGCTAGCTCCACTATCCGCTGCCTTGTTGTGAGTTTCAGCATCTTCAAAATCCTCTTCTTCTATGGAAGAATTCTGATCGAAATGTCGTTCTAGTTGCATTAAACGCATCTGAAAGTAGCGTTTTTCTTCGTTGATGCACGCGAGATCTTTTTCTTGTTCAGCTATCACTTGTCTGAGGTCTGAGATTATCGTAAGATCTTCCTGACGCGATTCGCGACGTTCGTAACGTTGACGAACCTCCTCGAATCTGAAAATGAATATAAAAATTACAACTTTATTTATATTCAATACAAGTTACTTACAGTTTCGTAAGGCAATTGCATTTTCTTTGAAGATGATCGATAGTTTCTTGCGATTGCTTTTGCAAGTTCATGTATTTGAATCTGTAAGCTTCTTGTTCCTTTTCGCGTTCTTGGAGCAGCTGAGCGACGGTTTCGTGTAAACTTCTGTGAGATAAAGGAAGACAGGGAATTAGGGCTACTGCTTTTTTTTTTTTTTAATTTATACAAATTTTGAGACCAATCATGCTTTACCAAATCGAACATCTATCATGCATCTAAGGTTTGTTTCAATTTTGCTAAAAACTTAATAGTTTTTGAGGATTGGAACAAATCTGTTGATTAGTAATGATGAATGATTTTGCCTGATTAATAAATTTGGACATATACTGATGTTTTATTCTTGATTACGAATTATTTATGTTTGTTAATTATGTAAATAACAAATAAAATAACAAATAGGATGGTTTGATACATGGATTGGGATAGGAGATATGAAATGATGGGAAAGACCAGTACTAAGATGGATGAGCTATCCGGAGATAAGTATTTACTACATCTATAGGAAATAGAAAAAAAAAATAAAAATTAATGAAAGTTACAAAATTACAAAATGAATGCGAAAAACAAAATACAAAATATTCTATTGTGAGTGATCCAACATGATCAAAAATAATTAAAACTACAAGTCAGTCGTCATATGGAAAAGAGTGAGCGATTGGGCACTAGCCACATACTGGACATGCTGGGAATATTTAACAAGACTTGGGGTTTGAAGCTAAAAATGGTCTATTGGATATTTACAATGGTTATAAGGCCCATAATCACTTATGCTGCAATAGTATGGTGGCAGAAAGTAAAACAACAGACAGGGCAAAACCGATTGGCAACTCTACAGGGTGTTTGTTTATAACTGGAACACTCAGTAACTTTTTTATTATTGAAAATAAAGGGCACGTTTAAATTGGAAAATTTCTTGGTAAATTGCAACGATCTTAATCGCTGCAACGATATTTTTTTTGTCGCCATAGGTATACAGGGTGCGCCAAAAAATTCATTTTTTTTTAATGGAACGCCCTGTATATTTTTGCATTTTCAAAATTCTTAGAAAATTAGCTTCACAAAAATATCAATCACTATTTGGATAACAAAAATATACGAGGGCGTTCCATTTAAAAAAATACCTTTTTGGCGCACCCTGTATACCTATGACGACAAAAAATATCGTTGTATCACTTAAGGTTGCAATTTACCAAGAAATTTTCCAACTTAAACGAGCCCTTTATTTTAAATAATAAAAAAGTTACTGAGTGTTCCAGTTATAAACAAACACCCAGTACATAAGTATGAATGTCTTAAAATTACAGGAGCAATGATAATCAACATCTGTCCAACCGCCGCAATGGAGGTCATATTGGGCCTCTCCCCACTAGATGATAGTGAGAAAAGAGGCCTACATGGGAGCCTCGAGAATAATGCCTTAAACTAAAGGAAGGGGACTTTGTTGGCCACATAAGCATTATGAAAGAATGCATGAATGTGAAGTCAAAACCAGTGCAACACAGGTACGAATTTGAACACTCATTCAAAGTGACTATTGAGGGCCGCAAGGGAGAAATATCGTACCTATATTCCCGAACGGGTCATCGCGGTCTGATACACAGACGGATCGAATACAGAGCAAGGGACTGGAGCATTTTGTAGACTCAGAGTTTTAAGGTCGTTTTAGATTTTGTAAATTACAAGTGTTTAGTGTCAAATGTTAATTTGACATGTTGAGTGTTACTAAACAGAAAAATAGAGCACGATTAATCAAATCAACTTGCACTTGTAAATAGCTTGCACTTAACACATAACTTGACTGATCGACTGATCCGTTTACAATTCGACAAATAAACACTACACTACCTGCACTTGCTTCTAATCAAACTGTAAACCGGCCTTAAGAGGTTATGCTGCCCAATATATTTGGGTCCACGAGTAGTAAAGGTAAAATATAGTCTGTTTTTTTTAAAGATAAAAGTCAAAATGACATTATGTGGGCAATATAATGTAAGATTGTCAATGCTTTCAAATTTTTTATGTAGAAAGGGGTTGTGTTGCCAACAGAGTTATTAAATTTCTGACTTGGGAAATTATCTTTAAAAAAAAAAACATACTTAAGGTGATTTTAAAGTTGTTTTGCGTGAACGCGGTAGGACATAATAGTTATTTACATTACATTACAAGTGCGTTTATGAACATGATTACAATAACGAGTGTGAAAGATTCTAATCACAGGAGTCATGTAGTCATGTTTAGTCCATAACACCACTAGTTGTAGTTGTGTTATGAGTCTCATAACATAACTCAAATACTAGTAAAATGGTTATGTAAAAACAGCATAACCAAACGCTTGTAGATAATAGTTATTTACATTACAAGTGCGTTTATGAACATGATTACAATAACGAGTTTGAGAGATTAGAACGACGAGGTCGTAGACCGAGTCGTTTTAATCACATGAGTTTTGTAGTCATGTTAAACACTTGTGTGATGTACAACGTTTTATCTACAAAGCAAAAAAAAACAAAAAAAAAATAATCAATTTTCGTTTTTCAGTAGTTGTCTATCTTCATTTTACTTTTACATGTTTAACTATGACATTTGTCAAATCATAAAACTAGCTGTGTTATGGATTCATAACCTAATCTATAACACCGCTAGTTGTGTTATGAGTCTCATAAGTCAAATACTAGAAAAATGGTTATGTGAAAAGGTCATAAATGTCATTGGTCATAACCAAACGCTCTAGATAAAACATTTAAAAAAAGCGTTTGTAAGGAGAACACATTGGAAAACCATGTCAGGCACAAACAGCCGTATACCGGTAAAACCATTCGATGGAGCTGGTTTTGGTAACTGGGAATTTAGGATGAAACTGTCACTAGAGCAGCATGAAGTCCTAAACGTAATTTCTGAGGAACTTCCTGCTGATGTAACCCAACAGGCTGCTTGGAAGAAAAAGGATGTACGTGCTAGAAACCCGATGGTATAATGTCTGAGTGAAAGTGGGTTGGAAGTGGCAAAGGAATATATGGATACCCTCTGTAAGACTTACCAGAAAACAGAAGTTTCTTCACAAGTTCAGCTTCAGCGAAAACTGACAAACATGAGATACAATAACCAGGACTTTCTAAGTAAGTCCATAGTAGAATTCGAAAAGACAGTAATGCGGGTGGACAAATTGATGATATGGAAATAGTATCTCAATTACTGGCTTCTATAACTGAGCCCCAGTACCAAACTGTAATTACAGCCATTGATTTTTTATTTTTACAAGGAACTGGTACTGTCAGTTTGGATTTTGTCAAGAGTTAGTTACTTGCTGAAGGGCAGAAATACAAAAATGAAAATGAAAGTGAAGGTCAAGGAAGTGCCTTTTCTGGGGGTCAAAAATTTAAAAGGAAAGAACTCCGCACACTTCTTATGGGATTTCTGACCGCGGTCCAATTTAACCAAATTTCAGTATCTTATAGATCTGACCTTTCTGATCAATACCTACCAAGGGCACAACTTAATCTTATGACTAGTTTTTGAGATACATAGTGTTCAATGTGTGAGTGTCCAATATGTCCAATATGCATTTCTGACACCCTATTCAATCAGTCAAATAATATTCGTTGAGAATTTGGTCAAGGCACAGAAATCAAGTAAAATATACCAATTAGTTATTTAATATAATCCAGAACATGTAGCTGATGAAAATATTGAGCAATAAAATGGGCCTATATTAGGTCACTATTACCAGTGCAAAACAGGTGCACGAACCATAGGTTCATGTGCACATGTCGCAACTGTCATTTAGTTTTTGGAATATGCAAGGCATGAAGCGGTCATTAGATTACCCAATAGCACAGTTCTAGACTATGTGCAAGATGCTGCAAACAGAAATAGTATAGGTACTCGAATAGTTGTTTTAGATATTTTAATTTTTTGTAAACAACTGTAAATAGATAATATATTCTATTCCTATTTTTAGTTATAATAGTTCCTGCATTTCTAACCGGTTGCATAGAAAATGCGTTTCAGGTGTAATATTGCATATTGGATGTGCACACATTGAGCACCCTGTATATTAAAAACTAGTCATAGGAATAAGTTGTGCCCATGGTTGATCAGAAAGGTGAGATCTATCACATACTAAAATTTGGTTAAAGGACCCCAAAAACCTCATGGTTATTTGGTTTTCTGTCATTAGCGATCAGAAATCCCATAAGAAGTGTGCAGGGTCCTTGAATATGAGTATTTAAACAAAAATCAATCAGCTGAGAAAAAGTAAGGCAAGAAGGCAAACCTGACCCAGGAAAAAAGTGAAAGTGAGATTGCCTTTATAAAATATAAGTCAGAAGACCAAATCAGAAACACGGGGATAGCATAATAAAGTTTGTTGTTGATTCTGGCTGTACTAATCATTTAGTTTAGTAACAACAGAATTTGTGAAACTTGTGCCTGAAAACAAGGAGGTAATTTACAAGATAAGAGTTGCCAAACAAGGATAGAGCGTAAAACATACAGGGAGTGATGCACCTAAAAACAGAGGGAGGTCGTAAAATAAGGCATGAAAATGTTTTGGTGTGCAAGAATCTAACACACAACTTAAAGTAAAGAAAATTGAATCCAAGGGATACAAGATAATCTTTGAAGCTGGAAATTTTTTTATAAAGCAAAGTAATGATAATGTGCTAGCAGAAGGCATCCTAAAAAGCAATGTATTGCATGTTTTGAAGTTAATTGTACAGGCAAATCTAAGTTCAGTTCAGGAAAAAGATTTATGGAAGGGCCGTTCCTCAAGACACCCTCCTTCCAAGACATGTGAAGTGTGCCTAAGAGGTAAACAACAGAGAAAACCTTATCATAGTGTACCAAAAAGAAGGAAAGCAAAAATAATCTTGAATTGTATATTAGGTGATGTATGTGGTCCACTGAATTCGGTCTCCCACAATGGCAAAAAGTATGTCATCACATTCATTGATCACTAATCTCACTTTGCAGCAGTTTGTTTTTTAAGACAATAAAAGCGAGTTAAAAGTTTAAAGCGTATATTGCCATGGTAGGATACAATTTCAAGACTTCACCAGAGAGACTGAGATGTGACAATAGTGGAGAAAATATTTCTCACGAGTTTAAGAACTTTTGCCAGCAGAATGGGGTGGTGGAGAGGTACAATCGAATCCTTCTAGACAAAGCTCGGTGTCTCATATTTGAAGCAGTATGGAAAATTATTTTTGGGAAGAAGCTGTGTCCACTTCAGCATATTTGGTTGATAGAACTCCCACCTCGACTCTACCAAGAAACCAAACACCCTCAGAGTTGTGGTATTGCGAAGAGCCAAACAAATAAGATAAAAAATTTTGCTTGTGTCTGTTATATGCATATTCCTGCAGAAGATAGGAAGAGGAAGAATAAGCTAGATCCATAGAAGTCAAAAAATGGACACCGTTTGTGGAATCCTAGAGCAAATAAGATAATTTCTGTTGGAAATGTCGTTTTCGATGAAACAAGAACTGATAATAAATGCACAACACAAGAATTTAAATTAAATCCAAATTATGTTGACAAAGAACTAAAAAATCCTTGTGATTCTAGAGTAATGAACATTTTCACTCTGATTATCAGAGTAGTAACAATTATGAAAGTCCCAGAGATGACAATGACCATGAAAATGAGAATTCTATACATAGGAACAAAGAGCGGCAAGGTACAGCCTATAAAGTTCAAGGATTATCAAATGGACTTTTCTGACGATGACCGTATTATTTGCTGCATATCCAGAAACTGATATTCCTAAGAGCTATTCAGAAGCATGTGACTTTAGACGATGGTTGGAAAAAGGCTATTGAGTGTGAACTAGATGCTGTGAACAAGAATAATACCTGGGAGATCATAGAACGACCAAAGAATGTTAATAGACTCAAGATGGGTTTTTACAGTGAAAGAGAGCGGAATGGTGATAAAATTGAAAAGGCACTCCTTGTTGCTAGAGGCTATAAGCAGGAAAAGTGCGAAATTTTTGATGTGTATTCACCAGGAGCACGTCCGTTTTCAATAAGAGTGCGTTTGTCTTTGTGTATAGAAAAAGATCTCGCAACTTGACGTGAAGTGTGCTTATTTGAATGGTGATTTACCTCAACCAGAATATATGGAGATTCCAGCGGATGTAGAGGTAAAAGAATCAAAGAAATGTAAGTACATTAGTAGATTAGAAAAACCTTTACATGGTTTATGTGAGGCACCAGAAATTTTTTCTTTTTAGTAGTTATCAAGAAAAACTTGATGTTTTTAAACAGAAATTAATGTCAAAATTTGAAATGAGGAATCTGTAAAATCAATCTGATTTTACAATGACATTTCTAGGAATAACTGTTAAAAATATAGAAATAAATTGTTTTTATCTACAAGCGTTTGGTAATGACGTTTTTACATAACCATTTTTCTAGTATTTGAGTTATAATGTCTGATAACACAACTAGTGGCGTTAGGACTAAGTTATGAATTCATACAACTAGTGGTGTTATGGACTAGTTTTTGTGATTTGACAAACGTCATAGTTAAACCTGTAAAGGTAAAATGAAGGTAGACAACTACTAATAAACGAAAATTGAAAAAACATTATTATTTTTCGCTTTGTAGATAAAACGTTGTACATCACACGTGCGTTTAAACAAGTCTACAAGACTGTCAAGACTCGTGTGATTAGAACAAGTTGGTCTACGACCTCGTCTTTCTAATCTTTCACACTCGTTATTGTCATCATGTTCATAAACGCACTTGTAATGTAAATAACCATTATCTACAAGCGTTTGGTTCTGACGTTTTCACATGACCATTTTTCTAGTATTAGAGTTATGTTATGAGACAACTAGTGGTGAATTGGACTAGGTTATGAGTCTATAACACAACTAGTGGTGTTATGGACTAGGTTATGTTATGAGTCTATAACACAACTAGTGGTGTTATGAATCTATAACACAATGTCAATGTAATGTCATAGTTAAATCTGTAAAGGTAAAATGAAGGTAGACGACTACTGATAAACGAAAATTGAAATAGTTATTTTCCTAACAAGTGCACAAAGTAGTACTTTCACGCACGCCAAAGCAGTTAGACTAACGACGCGAAGCCTCAAGTGCGGGAAAGAGACTTTGCGCACGTGTTGGGAATAATATTTTTCCTACGAGCTCACATATTAACAAAAATAAAAATAATAATAAATATATTCGGTGTTTGTACCTATAGAATGATGTTTGCTGACAAAAACGGAGGAAAAATCTGTCATCGTGTGTCAAAGTCGACAGGTACACTTATTGTTGCTTGATAATAATTAGTTTTACTTTCTGGCACTCAGTGCAGATAAGGACCTTATGCGCACGGAGTGCGGAAAAGTATAACAAACTATGGTATAACTTTGAGCAACGAAATGCGTGCGGAAAAGTACTACTTTGGGCTCGCTCGTAGGAAAAATTATTTTGTTATTTATCGCTTTGTAGATAGCACGTTGTACATCACACGTGCGTTTAAACATGACTACAGAAACTCGTGTGATTAAAACGACTCGGTCTACGACCTCGTCGTTCTAATCTTTCACACTCGTTATTGTAATCATGTTCATAAACGCACTCGTACTGTCCTGTAAATAACTATTTAAAAAAAAAATACTGATTTGGAAACAAATTAATGTAAATGTAATGTAATGTTGTGTTCTGGAAATCTAAAAAACAAGCGACTGTTCTGCAGTTTTGAAGCAGAATATACAGCTTTCTCTGACTGCACAACTGAATGCATTTATGCATGCAAAGATATTAAAAATTAATAGGTACTTTTCCTTTTCGTGTTTTCGAGGATAATTAATCCTGCATAAAAATGTCTAATACCCCGGAAACAAAGCGTAGCAAGTACATTGATGTGAAGCATCATTTTGTCAGGCAGTGTGTTTCAGATAACAAAATTCAGTTATAGTATTTTACATTATTAGCCAGGTATATAGTATAGTATATTACATGCGGAGGTGGAAAGTGTTTCATTATTGTCGAGAGATACTATGGTTGACCCAGGTGCGAAGCGCCGAGGTCAACCAATTCTCGAGACAATAATGTGAAAACTTTCCACCGAATTATGTGTACTATTTTATTTTGAACCATTAATTATTGAAAAAAATAAGGTAAAAACATGACAAAAATTGAATTCTGACTTACAGGCTGACACCGACATTGACATCTTATGAAATTGCAACAATATAAACACATGTGACATCTACTTCTAAATACAAACATTGCACCTGGATTTGTGTTTAGGTGTGAAAGAACAATTTATCAGGGCCGAAAGTGAGTTCTCCAGGCCGAAGGACAAAAGTAAAGTGACATTTTCGAACCTCCAAACCAGTAAGGAATGCATTAATTACATATATGGTTCAAAATAATAGTAAAGTCTGTTTTTTTTTTTTAAAGATAAAAGTCAAAATGACATTATGTTGGCAATACAATGTAAAATTGTCAATGCTTTCAAATTTTGTATGTAGAAAAGGCTTGTGTTGCCAACATAGTTACTAAATTTTTGACTTGGGGAATTATTTTTAAATAAAAAACAAACTTTATATTACATGCGGAGATGGAAACTGTTTCATTATTGTCGAGAGATACTATGGTTGACCGAGGTGCGAAGCGCCGAGGTCAACCAATTCTCGAGACAATATACAGGGTCCCAACTATTTCATAGGGACAGTATTGCTATCTCAGGAACTGTTAAAGTTACGAGGGCGTTTAAATAAGAAAAAAGATGCCATTTTTGAAGAATAATAAAAATATATTTGCGTTGTTGCCAAATTTCTATTAGTTTCACAAATACAGGGTTATTTTTGAAAATTTGCTAAAACAATTTTATCAAATATTTTAAAATCTCTTAACTTTAGAGACATAGTTCAAATTTAAAAGTATTATATTTTTAACATTCTTCAAAAATGGCAACTTTTTTCTAATTTGAACGTCCTCGTAACTTTAACTGTTCCCGAGATAGCAATCAATGCTTTCCCTATGAAATAGTTGGGACCCTGTATGTGAAAACTTTCCATTAAAATATGTATACCTACTATCTACTAAAATCTGAATAGGTTGGACCCTTTGCTAAATGAACCTTTTATTGAAACAACTCATTATGATAATTTCAACCAACCGACAGTTAATTGTGACTTCTCTAATAATAATGCCGAGATTTGAGCTAAACAAGAAAAAGTATTTAATAGTTGAGTTGCTTCATCAGTTTCAAGTTCTAGGTTTTTTCTACAGGGAAGACATTACTCATATTCAATACTAATAAAATCAGCGATGGATGATCATATCCTCGATTTACGTTATGATTACAAATAAGATTCAAACCAGAATATTTTAGAAGAATATTTTCATCAGCCCTTCAGTCAAGAAAACATAAAGGAGCAAATATTTGCTCCCTCTGACAAATGTTCTATCCATCTTCAACATCGACTGTATCTGAATCTCAACACTCAAAATTCTTCATTCGAGCCAATCCCCCAGAGGATTCCTTGAGATTATATATAGCCGAAGCCGAAAATGATGATTAATGATCAAAAACGAGAAGCTCTCGGTGACTGAATAATTTCATCATATTGTCGAACAATTCTTACCTCATCTTTTGATCAGCTTCATTTTTAACCTTCGCCAAATCCTTACACTGCTCCGCAATTTCCTGATTCAACACCTGCACGCCACCCTCCAAAGTTTCGACGTTACTTTGCAAATCGTCCACCGTAGAAGTTTTACTTTGAATCTCGTTCTTCAACGTATCGATGGTTTTCAATAGTTCAACTTCTCTCGAAGAGTGCGATTTTTGTTGCATATAAAATTGCTCTTCCAACGTTTTATATTTGCTGACGTATTCGTTTTCGACTAGGCGCACAGCTTCGGATTTTTGGTGCACCAAATTGTCCCACTGAGCGATTAATTCGTTTCGATGTTGTTCGACTAATTGTTGCAGTTTTTGTTGCGCTTCTTCTTCTAGTTTTTCTTTGGTTTGTTCCAGGCTGGACGTGGCGTCTAGTAGTTTACTTTGCCATTCGATTTCGACGTTTTTTAGTTGTGTTTCGTGTTCTTGGGTTAGTTTTTCTATTTCTTCTTCGTGCCTCATGGATAATTTTTCGTAGTTTTCATGATGAGTCATGTCGATTTTATCCATGAGTCGTCTGAGTTCCATTATGTCTTTGTCTGTGTTTGAGCGCACTCTTATAAGTTCTTCGTGGTAGAAGTCATCTTTGTCGTCTAAGGCTCTTTTAAGGGATTCAATTTCCTTTAAGCACTCTTTCATTTTAGCTTCCCATTGTGCTTGTCTTTTTTTGAACTCTTCTTCTTTTTCTTTTCTGACGGTTTCCATTGCGCAATATTTTTCTTCGTTGTGAATTTGTTCCATTTCGTCCTTCAACCTGCTACATTCGTGCAACAATTTTTCCTCCCAGTACATTGCGATTTCTGTCCTCTTTTGATTCAAAGTGTCTTTTAATTTACGCTCTTTGTCCATTAGTTCTTGACGATGAATTCTTTGGATGTGTTGTAAGTTTTCTTTTTCTAATTCTATAAGATTAAGCAGTCTTTTTGTCTCATTTTTAAGGTTGGATTCGGCTAAGATCATTTGAGCTTGTTGATCGCGCATTTGATGTAACATCTTATCTTGTTCTGATGTTCTGTCTCGTAATTGTTGCACTTCTAGTTCGTAGGATTTTAATGCTTCAACCTAAAATTTGTTTTTAAAGGAATTCTAGAATGTAAAAGCAGAAGAGTTTCTTACTTGTCCTAACATTTTTTGGGCTTCTTGCATTCTCATTTCAGCTTGTTTGTAAGCGTCTTGCAGTCTTGTTTCGATTAATTTCTCTTTGTCGTCTAGTTTTTTCTTGCACATTTGTTGCACCTCACGTAATTTCCATTCGAAATCGTCCAGCAACTCTTGTTCTTTGAGTATATTCACGGTTCGCAATTTTTCGAAGTCTTGTTTCCATTTTTTTTCAATTTCTTGTTTTTGTTTTGTCGCTGTTGTCAATGTTTCGGCTAATTTTTGTCGTTCTTCATCTCTGAAATAAACAATAAACTTCATTAGTATAGAGGGAATCATCCAAATAAGGATGATCAAGAAAAAGTTGAAGCAAATCAAAAAATTTGTCTGTGAAAACAAACGTTTACCTTTCTGATTGAAGTTGAACATATTTCTCTTCCAACTCTTCCTTTTCCTCTTTCAAAGCTTTAATTTGATTTTCTAAAGTTTCAATCCTAACTCTCAAATTCCTTATAACTCCTTCTAATTCGCTTATTTTTGACTGCGTCTCTATTTCATAGCTTTTGTGAGAATCTAAAAAATTGAAACGGATAAAATTTTGCTACTTAATTACTGAACCAAATTAATTTCGTACTTGTTTTTGTTTGAATTTCTTCGGAAAGTTCGGCGTTCCGTTTCCTGTAACCTTCCAGTTCGTTTTCGAGATAACGTATTTTCTGTCGAATCGAATCCGATTCTTTATTGGCAGTATTAAGTTCGGTTTGCAATCCTAAAAATTCAATAATTGAGATATTAACTAACCAGAAATTCAATTTAACTTACGGTCCATTCCAGCTGATTTAGCAAAAACGTCCCTTTGAAGTTCTTCCATTTGAAAACGTAATTTGGTAGCCTCGGCATCTCTGACTGACAATTCTTTTGACAAGTCATTGAGCTGGCTTTGGAACTTGGCTTCTTGGTTAATTAGATTTTTCCTAAAAAAAATTTGTATATAAATAGCCATTGCGCGCATTCTTTCAAGTGAATGAAGGGAACAAATGGACATTTTTGAAATTCTAAACACTTGGCGCTTGACTGAAATTTAACAATAGCATTTTTGTTATCTGATCTGAGAGCTTAAGAAATGTTTAAGATTACTCGGCAAATTTTAAAGAATTTGGCAGTAAAATTGATGGGTGGCATTGATTTTTTTTTGGAGTAATTAGTGTAGGTACAACCCGGATATTTCTATTGCCAATATTGTTTTGCTCATGAACTTGGAATATAAATAGAATTTTTTCTATCATGGTGAGTTACAGTATAGTGAAGTTTCAATAAGATGTAGGTCATAGCTTTAGGAGTTATGTATTTTCCCAATTACATACTAGAATCTTTACTCTGAGCAGTATTTTGAAATTTTATTTGCAATCATATATGTAATCTTGTCATTACTGACTTTTTAAAAATTTGAAAGTGACACTTTACCTGTGTCACTTCCCTCTTCGATTTCCCTCACCGATTTCCCTATTCGACTTCCTTCACCGATTTCCCTAACTGTAATTTATTTACCTTTGCTGGCAACAATGAGAACATGTCAGGTAAAAACGTCAAAGCAGTGAATGACACATTTTGGCATGTTTGTTTCATTTTTTTAATATTAAAAAAATTGATTGACTAATCCTAATTATTTGTGTGCTTGCAAATAAAATAGTATACAAACCTCGGAGGAAAGTTTTCATTTCTGTCTCGAGATTAATAGTCAATCTCGACGCTTCGCGTCTCGATTGACTATATAAATCTCTCGACAGTAATGAAACACTTCCCTACTCGGTATGTAATATACTATTACCGTGTGATTGAGTGGATAATTGGAAATAGTACGAGTACATTTTTAAAAATTATAAGGAGATTTTATAACTTCACATTAGATATTGTCTAAAGTTTAATTTCCTATCAATTTTGCTTCAACTTTGATTTAAAATGAATGAATAGACTTTAGATCTAAGTTGCCAGACACATCTCTCCAGATTATTTTGTTCTAAAAATAAATGTAAATGGTTTCATGAATTATAATAAATCAACAACGCTTTTTGCACACTTGTATCGGCCTATTCACGACTTCCTGCAACTCATTCGCTCGAAAAAATCCATTAAATTTTGCTCATTAAACCATTCGTGGGTTGTCAATAATTAATAAATTAGTTGCCTTGTGGCAACAGTTCAGATTTTAATTAGGTTTGTGGCAATTTTTTGGATTAAGATGAGAGAATCAACGTCATGCTTTCAACACGTGGTTTTTATACTTGGAGGTATCCGTAAAGCCATGTTCCCGGACACTGACTTTTACAACTTTTCATTAAAGTCTCCAATAGCTGATAAGTGATGTCTTCAGCTATAATATTTCGAAAAAGATTCAATCACCTTGAACAAGCATTTTTCTATGAATGTACAGAATTCGTACATTTCGACAACAGTTTTTTCCTTATTTATTTTAAATACCTTTCTTTTTTCGGATATATAATTGCAATTGTAATTGAATCGGGCTTTTCAATTTATAGGCAGGCGGCCAAGCATTCTAAAGACGTCGTTTTATTGATGAACCCAATATTTCGGTATAACTTTATAAAACCTAGAAAATATCGTAAGTTACAACATTTTCTACGAAAAATTCTTATATGGCGACTTTTAGTTTTGGTCGAGATAAAAGTTATTCAAGAAAAAGAAGAGAAATGGTCAATTGATAGGTTCTGTTTTTAAAGCCTAATTACTAAAAAACTAATTAAGTCTTAGGGGTAATTACTTCACGATTCTAAAGAGTTTTCAGTGCTCTTTATTATGACATGTAACATTTCGGATTGTTTTCATTTCTCAGACAAAAAGAAATAGCTTTTATCATTCCATCTAAAAGAGAATAAATATTTATTCATCTTCAAACTGCTCTAACTTGGATGTTTGTTGAAATATTATTTTTTTCTTTAGACAAAAAACTGCAGAATTTTATAAGCTTCATTTTGTCTCAATTATTGTTTGGTCTACAAATAATAATAACGCCTGCAAATCACATGAAAAAAGCCCGCGCCCGAATTTCTGTAATATTTTGCACCCCCGAGTGAAAATGTGGCATGGACTGCCAAAATGTAGCTAAAGAATTATTAGATAACCTGGACAATGATCGGTTAGAAGATTAGGTAAATTGGAGGTAAATATAATTTTTTTTTACATAACTTTCATAGACCGTCAGAATGACAGATTTTGCTGACCGATTTTTCTCTTTCCGGAGATTTCAACTACTGAGAATTAATTGTCAGTGCTGAGCTCAAAAAATGAAAATGCAGCGTCCGGACGTCTGCTAGGCATATAAAAAATGTATTTTCCTTTTGCAGTAAAGTAATAGATTATTTTTTCAATATCTCTTTCATGGCATTTTATAACATATTAACATTATACAGTAAGCACGTAAAGGTTGGAATAAAATCGATACATATACAGGGTTGTTATTTTTCAAAAAACCTCGGACACGTATGATCGCTGATTTTAGTGGTCGTTTTTTTGATGATATTATAATGTATACAGGGTGACCCATAATCAAGTTATAATAGCTAACTTTATTAATTTTTTATTTTATTTCCAAATTCTACGTTAAATTCTGTACCTATATATTTTATTTATCATGTTCTATACCTATTTTCAACTGTTTCGGAAATATTGACAGTTGAAAATTCACTTTATTAGGCAATCCAACGATGTGTCAAATATGGCCGCCTGTTGGCACACATGTGCCCATAACACTAAATTTCTTGTGTCATCAGTCATTGTCCCTTGTGTTTACCTTTGACGTTGGGAATTTTAAAATAATTAATTCCAGCTTTTTACAAATTTCCTCCCAAAATATTTCTAAATAATTGTGTCTGTGTTTTTTTAGGTCTCAAAACTCACAAAATAAAGCAATAAGAAGCAAAATACGCAGCCAACACAGAAAATGACACACCGTGCATTCGGCATTTTGATCAGAGTTCTCCAGGCTTGAATTTACCGTTCGTTTATTCAAAAAGTGTACTCGGAACAGGCTCATTTGCGTTCGTTTATTAAAATTTTGGGCACTCGGATACTTTGTTCAACTGCTCTGTTCGCTCGCTGGTCATGTGATTACGGCCCGCTCAGCACCCTCTGCACCGCTTTGCACTTCGAGCAAAATACCGAACGCAACGACAGTATTAAACCAAGAAAATCTTTTGTGTGCCAACAATCCGTCAAAAAAAGTCACGTGGTTTGGATTGCCTAATTGCAATTTTGACGGGCTGTAGAACCTAAACGGTTAATTTTAGAGCAAAACCGATCATACATTCTTGTCTTAGTTTTTCATAAACTATCATTTGATGCAAACTTTGAATTTAATTCATGATTGGAAATTTCAGTTATATTTAATCTCCGGTTAAATTCAAAGCTGGTGTCAATTGATAGTTTATGGAAAACTAAGACAAGAATGTACGATCGGGTTTGCTTTAAAATTAACATTTCAGGTTTTACAGCCTGTCAAAGTTGCAATAAAGTCAATTTTCCACCGTCAATTTTTCCGAAACAGTCGAAGATGGGTATAGGTCAGGACATGATACCTGAAATACGTTCAGAGTGAAACGTCGAATTTGAAAATAAAATAAAAAATTGGTGTTTTCATTTAAAAAAATTAAGTTAGCTGCCATAACTTGTTTTTGGGTCACCCTGTATACATGATATTATCATTAAAAAAACGGCCACTAAAATCAAAAATCGACGTGTCCGAGGTTTTTTGAAAAATATCAACCCTGTATATATAATGGATGTGCCTAGCAGTCCGGTTGCTGAATTTTCATTTTTTCAGCTCAGCACTGACGTAATTTTCAGTGCTTGCAATCCGCGAAAAGAGAAAATCGGTCAGCAAAATCTATCATTAGCTGTCGGTCTATATGCATCTAGGATACAATATTATAATTATGGATTATTGAAACTTAATAGTTACCTATTTATCCAACACGTGCAAGAATAATTTTGCGCATTAGTGCGGAAAGTAGTCATTTTCTTTACGGAAATGAGCTTTTCGCACTACTGCGACAATTTACAATTTTTTGCACGACCCATAGGAAATAGTTATTTTCCTAATAAGTGCGGAAAAATTAGATTTAACCATTTTTCCTATAAGCGTGAGAAAAACGCCGTTTTTTGCACGCATTGGCTTGCCGAATTTTTTTTACACATTCCACACTAGGAATGTTTTTTTCCGCGCGTGAGAAAAATGGGCGTTTCCCGTACGCTCATAGGAAAAATATTGATAGTACGATTTTGAACCTCATTTTTTCGTTTTTGTGACGTAACTTTTGTCTCGACCAAAACTAAAAGTCGCCGTATATACATTTTTCTTTTATTATGACCTAATAAATGACATGGTGTGGGTTTCAAAAAATTATACCAAAATATTGGGTTTGTGAACGTAAATGGGCTAGGGATAACAAACTATCGATAGGGATATCGATACTATCGATAGTTTTTCAATTTTCGATAGTATCGATAGACCTGTACCAATATCGATAGTTCCAATGTAGCCAAAGGTAAATGAAAACATCTGTATATTGAGGGAAATATAAAGAAATCTGTAGTTTTTTTGAGAAATCTGTAATTATTTTTGGGGATAGACATGCTGTGCTGCCAATTTTTCGGTTAGGAGGAATTAGGCAATTCAATCCATCTGTCAAAAAGGAAAATTCAATGTGGCGTGGCGGCCAAGCAAGTTTGTTTTGAATATGTTTTTATGCGTATTTTAAATTATTTTGCATAGAAATTTGCTTACAACTATGATTTTCATTATTTAATGAAATATTTGTTAACTAGGTACTTAAACTATTAATTCGGACAGAAACTAGATAATTTTTTGGGAGTGAATCCTACGCCTACCGGTAGGTCCTTTTTTATCCACCGATTGTGCGCCTACTGGTAGGGTAGGTCCTTTTTCGTCAAGTGATCA